GACAGACATGTGTCGCTGCTTTGTGCGAAGATGTTGAGATGCCGGATGGGAACCTTGGAGATGGGTTTAAGTCGCTGAACGCCAGCTGCCAATTGGCTCAAAGTAGTCGTGACTTTGGCTTGGTTAGGGCCAGGGCATGTCAGCCTAATCCACATTCTTCGGCAGTGCCAAACGCGGAGTGTAATCTCATCCTTAATTCGGCTAGTGCTGATGGTTACGTAGCCATGTAGCCACAAGAAACTCGCTGAGCTCTGCGTAAGTGAAGTCGTTTGGGCGTCGAAGCTTGACGCGGGCATCGACATCCACAGAGCAAGTGCCCCTGCCCCAGCTTCCAACCAAATCGAAGCGTAGGCCTGGCAGCGCTGGCTGCACTGCCTCTGCAGCCACACTCCATTCACACGCCTTGTGGCTCAAAGCCGAACCTTTCGATCCCACCATGCCTCTAAGGGCATCTTGCAGAGTCGATCACCCCTGAACCCGTTGGCCCTTCATCGCAAACGTCGGTTCATCTACTATTGTGTTGTGATTTCCTACGGGGGGCCTACGCGGGCTTCAAGGTCTGTCAAACTCATACCGTTTACCCGCCCCCCCTCCCCCCAACGAAACATAGCCCCGACTCTTCTGTGGTCCACAGACACAAATGCACAATTCAGGACACGCAATGAATCGCACCCTTGAGTCAAAACAAAAACTCCCGAGTCTTCTATGACCGTTTTATGTTTTCATAAGTTAAAGCACACAGCGAATGATGTTTCTGGATCTTCAGACAACCAAGAAGCCAAAGCACATGGCGAATCGTAGCCCCGAGTGTTTTGTGATCCACGCAAGATGAACAAGTCAGTCAGGAAACACAATACATCATACACCCGAGCCAACACACAGCATCCATTGAATTTTAGCTCTGTGTTTGTGGTGATTTTTCTCAATATACCAGAAAAAGGGAACGTATTCAAATCCTACCCTCGATTCGTATATGGTCTCTTCCCCCGTGCCTAAACTCTCAAGGTGATGGCGCTGACGTTGCCGTTCCCACCGGCGGGCGTGCCAGCCCAAGAGCCAAGGGGTGGTCTCGGGTTGTGTACTTTGTTTTTTTGGATCTGGTGTCACTCGGCTCTAGGATCCAGGGGTACAGGGCCTTAGGTTTGCGGGTTTAGGGCTTGAAAGGCCATTCAAGGGTTGATGATCTTGTGAGTCTCGTGGCGATCGCAGGGCTTCGACTTCGAGGGAGTGTGGGGTTTTGGAGGTTTCGGATGTTCGGGGTCGAGCGGCGGCATAGCTTCCATCTTGAAGCTTGATGTGAAAATGAGAGCTCGCTTCATCGTAAACCTACAAAAACGCTGATTGCTCAACCCTGCTCTCAGCTCTCAGGAGTGTCGAAGAAGTCATCATGCTGACTGAGTCCAGCACGAAGCCGCTGAATTCCTCAACATCGTCGGAGTGTTATTCGGCAAGCCTCGAAGACCTCATCTTGACGGTTGTTATGACCTCTACGTCTACGTGTCACTCTCACTGAATCCCAGCATGCGGGGCCTGTGCCTCTTGCTCAGGAGGTTTCTGATGAATACATGTGCAGCTTGTTTCTTTGCTTTCTGTTTTTTCAACAGGGATCGGCTTGTTGGGGGTTTAGGGCGTCTCTTGCAAACCTTATCGTCTTCAAGAACAGTGACAGTTGCTCTGCAGCAGCAGCTTGGAGGGCCTTGCGCAGATCCATGCTTGCGAGGACTTCGGTTACGTAGAATGAAGACTAGCAGGATCGACGGCTTGACTAAGCCAGTTTCCGCATTCGAGTATACCTGTTCTTTTTGGTAGTCTCACGAGTATCGGAGTACATACGTTGATTTACAGTTCTTTGCCTTGATGCATCGGCAACTCCCGTATGGCTTGACCGATCACTTGTCGTGCCAAGTCTTTCCAAGCATTGTGCGTCGGCCTCGCGGCAGAGAAACAACTTCAGCCTTTTTTCAGGCACCACAAGCCGCACGATCACTGGGGTGAGCCGGTCGTTACTAGCTGGACAAGACTTGCATTCCTGGAATAGCGGCTTACAGTCTTCTAGCCCAAACCCAACATTCCGGACCCCGACCCCAACTCTGCATCCCCAACCCTGTTCGAACTAAAACCGAGGCATCAGACCCTGAACCCAGCACGACTGCGATCGCGCTTGGACTTCAATGCTACTTTACCTGCGCCGCTGCCCTCTGAGGCTTCCAAGTTGACCAGGCGAAGGCCGCCTCATCGCCGCGGAACTCAGGGGACTTGAGGTCAAGGATGCATGTTGCATGTCATTGTACGAGTTCCCATCATACAGCAGGTCGGCTAGAAAGGTTGTCTAAGTTTGCTTTTGTCGGCTTTCGGGATCTCCCTGGTTCAGAATGCAGGACCGTGTTTGGTTTCTGCCCTGACTACAAGTACTCGCTGCCAAGAGCTTCTCAACACGAAGGTTCCTACCCCTGGCCGGGTTCAGTAGTCTTTCAGTAGTCTTAGCGCTACTGAAACTAAGATGGCCTTATCCTGACCTGCGGTTGGACTTCGAACTTTCAGTGCCCACGTCCAGTCTTGTAGCTCAGCTCGAGTTTTGTTGTGGCCCGTGGTCGTTGGTCCAGCTGGTCGCACATGCTACTCAAGGTGCCCTACTCACCGAACTTGTAGTAGATGCGTTCCGACTGCCTGGAAAGCCTTGCTTCGCTGCGCAGCCCCAATCTGCAGGGAGTTTCGCTACCCTCACTTGCTGGCTCCCCAACCCTTTGTTTTTTGGGGCCGGCGTTCGATCGCCGATGCTGCCGGTCCAGCCGCGTGTTTTTCTTTGTTCAACGGCGTATGGAACAGCTTGTCCAAAATTTTCCAGGTCCTGCAGCAGCAGCCGCTGCAGGACTTCAAGTTGGAGACGAACACCCTCCAGTCTGCAGTTGCGAGTCTGGAAGTAACAACGCTGCCACCTGAAACACTCGAGCTGCTCCACACGCGGATCCAGGACCTTGACCGAGCGACCCAGAAATTCACGGAGCCTGGGTGTCTCGAGCAGGTGAGACGGACCGTCACCCCGGGTGCAGACGCAGAGAAACTGCGTGCGCAGCTAACTTCTTTGGCCGTTTTCATTGTTCTGTGCAAGATCGGCAGACCAAGTGCAAGTAAAGGCCTCCCTTGCATGATTTGGCCTGCGTCGCAGCCTATCGATCTTGCCAAGACACTTGCTGAATCTTGGAGCCAGGTGCCTCGAGGACTGCGTCCTGTGTGCTTCACGATGGATGCAGGGGTCGCTCCTGTTCTGAAGCAGAGTGGAGCCTTCCTCCACATCCAGGTCTGCAGCGAGCCCGAGCTTGAAATCCTACAAAGCACATGCGGAGTGGACTCCATGACATTCTGGATGGAACGACTGCAAGCCATGTTACCTGAGCCGGCCCAGAAGCAGATCACCAGAGGTAATCCAACCAAACAGTGTGCGGAACTCCCTTTCGGAGAGTTCTCAGACAAATGCATGCAAGATGTGGACAAGATGAAGATCAGAGCAGCTGAAGGGAACGGCCGGCCGTCCCATTCGACCAGACCGGTTCGAGTCGTCACTGCTGACAAGAAGGAACCGGCCTTCGTCGCCACATGCGGCTGCTCTGCCTTCATTGGAAGTTACAGCTCGGAGTATATGTCTTTGCTGCGCATCGATCCATCGAACCCATGTCAGGTGAACAAGGAGGTTCAGCTACCCCGTAATGGCCCACCGCTTGGCATCGCCAGCTGCGGCAGGCGAGTGGTCGCAAGGTTTCAATTTCGGGATATCAAAGAACTTTATCTCTTGGACTTGGAGTTGGAGTCTATGTCATGGAAACTCCTGGCAAGAGTCAAAGACACTGCTCTCGGCCTCAGCATGGACAGCAAGGCAGTGTATTGGGCCGGTTTCAACAGCCAAACGGTTTGCTGTCTGGACCTGCAGACCGGCCAGGAGCACGTGATCATGGGCGTTTCGGGCGAAGCAGGGTGCGGCCAGCCTGGCGAGTGGCCCGAGGGCTTCAAGCTTCGGGATCCGGTTGCCACAGCGTTGCTTGGAACCACCCTGTTCGTCGCAGACCGAGGGAATGGGAGGGTGCTGAGCTTTGACATGAGCAGCAGAGAGGTGAACATCGTGTACCTCGGGGAGCGCCCTGCAGCACTGGCAGCCCACGACCACTTCTTGTACGTTTATGACCGATTGAAGCGCCAAGTCTTCAGAGTCTGCTTGGAAAGCATGGAGACTCGGCCAGTTCTCGGCTCCGGCGCGCAGGGCTTTTCTAGAGACGGGCTGCCGCCGCTTGCCACAAGTCTCGGCGATGTGTTCTGCGGTGGTTTGAGCATCACCCCTGGCGGCGAGCTGCTGGTGGCAGATTATGAAAATGGTGTCGTTCGGGCAGTGAGCCTCAAAGATGAGTCTGTCAGCGGAGCTGTGGCCTTGTTGCCTCCGTCCACAAAAGACTGGCAGTCAGGATCGGTGAAAGATGTTGAGCAAACGCCGGAGGAGGAGAGGACTGCCGATCACCTCATGCCCTACGCGGCTGCTGCCTGGGAAGCTCAACATCAGCTTTCGGCCGGAGCTCACATGTCGCCGCAGCTTGAGCCAAAGCCGAGTACCACCGTCACAGCCACGATTGACAAGCCTGCCGGAGATGTTTGCCTCATGCTCGTGCCTCTCAGACCGGTCACACTCCCTCTAGATGCATACTTTGTGCATATTCCCGGATGGGATGACAGCACCTTCATCGAAACACTTGGCGCCATCCGGCAGAAGTGCGAACAAACAAGTGGGGCCGAAGGCTTCACGTCACATATGCGAGCAGCATTTCAATGGATGAAAACTTTGGTGACGAACTCCCTCAAAAACGGTCCGAAGAAGCTCTACCTGAGGGATGTCAATGTTTTCACAGTCTCCATGACTTGCAAGTACAATGAAAAGGAAGATAGCAACACTTGGCAGATCACACAGCTAGACATCAATGGCAAGACCAGAGGCGAAAAGCTGGAAGCGCTCGCAGTCGGCGTGAATGTGCCTGTCGCCTTCTTCATGATCTCGGCAGACGGGATTCGGCTGCACGGTACGCCCGTGGTTGCATAAACTGCGACTGTTGAAGGTCATATGATTTGATATCGGAATATGTGAGTTTTTCGGGAGTCTTCCGGAGTCGCGAGGCAAAGACTCTTGCGGACTCATCCCATGGGCAGCACTGCTTGAAACAAGCTCGTGCTATAGCAAATCTAGGCCGTTGGCATCGGAGTCGAACGGAATACGGGATGGCCGATTATTCAGTCCATGCTCTTCTCCAGGAACACGAATCAATCTGAGTCTCAGAAACTTGTCGTGTCACTATCTGTGCGCACGCCTGTAGGGTTGCAGATTCGGGAAGCGCATCTCGGAAGCTGCCCCAAACATCCCCAAGCCTTTCCATAGAGGCCTTGACACTGCATTCCGAGGCGATGCTCGCACCACGCCGGCTGCGGCGCGAGTCCTGCCGGAGAAAAGCGTTCAACCACGGCATTGTCCGTACCAGCAGCCGAGCCTAGTTCGTTTGCCCTTGATTAAGTTTTGTTCTATCTTGCCATGTTGCTGCCAGGACCGTGCTGTCTCCGCAGCCTTTCAGCGCTTTGGGGGCGCGGGGCTTCGGGCTCAATAAGTAGAGATTACAGCTGCTCACTGGATTCAAGACGCAGGCATGGGTGTTGTTGGAGAAACCATGAGCTGTGCCGCTTGCTGACGGTCATACAAGGGGCAGGCTTTGTTTTTGTCCCAGCTTGAGGCTTGAAACCTGTTCCCCAACTCCCACGTGTCTTTTGACCAACTCGCTGCGGCGCAGGAAGGCGGCAGTTTCACTTGTTTAGGCTTGGCGGTTTAGTTTTGTTGTCATCCGGCGACGCCATGGCAGAGGATACATGCTGCTGCCTGAGTGGCGCCTCTCTGCTGCCACGAATGTACGGCTGGGTTATCACAAGCCGACATGTCTCGTGTTCATGGAGACCCGCCAGTTCTTCAACGCCACACTGGAACCCCATGACAACTTAAGGCAGAGACTCCCCGACATCAGCCCTGAGTCCTAGGTCCGGTCCAAAGCCCTGACCACAGGAAAGCAAACACACCTTTATGTTGAAGAAGCCAGCCATCGAGCCTGCGTGCGTTTTACCCCAGACCCCTGAACTGCCCGACCAGCCTTGCATTGAAGGAAATTATCGAAGCCAAAACCATCGAACCACAAGCCTTGCACTGCGCATCTGCTATCGGTTTCTTTCCCTAAGCACTGGAACTCAAAATCCGGAAAGCTTCGGAGGTCAGAACTCGCAGGTTTCAGAGTTCAAGCCCCCGCCTCCACCGCACGCTACTCCAGACATCTCCCGTCGAGGTCAGCAGCCTCTTCCAGGCCTTACGCCGGAGGCCCTCGATACAGGAACGGGTCCGGTGCCGTGGCCGGCATAGAAGTCACGCTTGGAATCAATCGTTGGGGTGTGCATGTTCGGTGCTGTGGTGCTAGGAGGTTGGTGATGGTTGGTGCGTTAGTTTCAATATTTTCCGGCATCTTGGCTTGGGTAGTTTGAGATTATGAAAGTTTCGGAGTGGTGCAGTTAAGAAACTGGTCATTGACGGCCTAGGCTTAAACTTAAGAGTCCTATGAGGCATTGAATTTGGATGATGGCTTAGGACATAGGCCGCGGGGTTCAGGCTGTACCTTGCTGCAAGTTCAATCTTTGCAGGCCCTAAGCTGATCATCAATTCATTCGCTGGTCGCAGTTGAAGCAGTGTGGCACCAAGCGGAGTCGCCATAGTGGCTGTCGCAAGAGCTACAGAATGAGATTGACTGGAATTGTCCCAATATCTTGAGCATTCAGCATGCTTTAAACCCTAAGGCACTCAAGACCTGAACCCCGAAAAGCCCCAAAGTCCTAGAGCCTTGAAGATCTAAGCATCGATCGAACATAGGATTGAATCTGGCCTGTCGGTGATGTCCGCGGAGAGCCTGGCGAGACCACGGCAGGGGAGCTGGGCCTCTCCTGTTCCCTCGCCTCAGCTGCCGCCCAGTGGAAGCTAGGGTTTGCGGGAGTTTAGGGGTTTTAGGCCTAGGGGCTCAGGGGCTTAGGGCCAATTTAGGGGGTTCAGGTTGGGGTCGGGGTTGGGTTCACTGTTGTCTTGCGACAAGGCTCGGGATGTAAGGAGTGACTGGGAAGAGCGGGGTGAGCTTCAGTGCAGCAGTGTGCAGAAAGATTGCCAGGATGATTGCTCGTCGTGGTTATCGAAGTGTATGGGGCGAGGAAAACTGAGTGCTTTCCATGTCGCAAGCCTTGCTGGTTCGGTTGCATGTCGCATATATCGCACGGAGCACTTCTAGGATGTATACTGGCGCATACTCAAACAACAGGTAGACTGCGTAGAACTCCTACATTTGGGACCGCCTGGAACTCAGGAAGAGTGCAGAGCCTCCATCCTTCAACGAGGACCCAATGCTGAGTTTGATCATTACACGCTGCTTCCAGGTAGGAGCATGGCAGTCGTTCTTTGAACTTGACTTCGGGTGCAGCGTGCGAAGTCCAGATTTCTACCCAGGTCTTGCCCCGCACCATCCCAAAATCAAAACCGTATTTCGGAGGTTGAGCATGCAGGTCGGCAAGGCTGCAGGAGTGAGGGCAGCGTTTCCGAAGCCCAATAGTGCCCTTGCATGCTGAAGCCCACGAACCCGGAACATAAGAGCACGAAGCCTCAAGACTGGTTTAGGGTTTAGGGCTTAGGGCTTAGGGTTTAGTATTTAGAGTTTAGGGTTTAGGGTTTCAGGGTTTAGGGGCCCAAGAGCCTCCAGGACAGCCTCAAATGGATTCTTGACACCCTCAGTCCGACGGCTGGCGCCAGCCGGTTTACTGAGGCAGGGAGTTTAAGGATAAGTTTGTGTCTAGGAAGTGGGGGTGATAGGCTTGATGTTGGAGTTTTGGGCCGTTTGTGTTCTTTGCATTGACTGCTTGGGGTTTGAGACAGGTTTTCAACTCCGTGTTCCGGGCGCAGGTTGAGAGCATGCAGACGAGTTCAAGTGTTGGATCTACGTGGTAATCCGCTCTCGGAACTGAGTGCCCTGACACATGTCCGAAAGCCTGCTTTGGATCCTCTTAGAGCTTGCATGACGTGTCCGAGGGGTTGATGACCAAACTAAACTGCTGAGCGGTTCGCGCTGTCTGCCGGGTTCCCATGCAAAGCCTTCGCCCGGAAAAGCAATCGTAATCATCATATTCCTCACATGGCCTAACAGTAACAGCCGGAAGAGCAGGATGAGTAGGAGTCGTTGTAGAGGAGGTGAGGGTGGTGGTGGCAGTGGTGGTCATCGCCGTAGCAGTAGTAAGGGCGGCAGTAGTAGTCGTAGTGGCAGCAGCAGTAGTGAGCAGCAGCAGCAGCAGCAGCAGTTGCAACAGCAGCAGCAGGTGCTGGCTTCTTTCTTGTTCTTCGGGGTTTTTACTGCTTCTAGCAACTACTATGCTAGGTGATCGCCGATCCGGATGCGACCCACAAGATCAATGTCACGGAAGGCAAGGCCATGGAGTTTGCAGCTCAAGGGCTAAAACAATCTCGCCGAAGCCTTGATTGCGGCATGTTGTTGCCGAACCAGGAATTTCAGGAAGCAGGGACCCGGATATCGGCCCTACTAAGTCCTACTACAGTGGGATTACAAGGAGCCCTCCAAAAACGAAGATGACCCCTACTCTCAATCAAAGAGGGTTCGGCTCCAGGGGCTCATCACTTCCTGACCGAGCAGCTCTACGCGGCCCCAGGCCGGCTCCTTCGCTTTTCTAGGGCCCTAGGGGTTCAGTGAGGGCCCGGAGAGGCCGGGAGAAGGGCCGAATGACTGAAGCCCTCCCTAAGAACCCAAAACCCTACTTTTTTTTGTAGGGTCCCTATAAATCCCATATCAGGGTTTGTAATAAGAACCTACAAAAAAGTGGGGTTTTGGGTTCTTAAGGTCAACCCCAAACCGCCTCAGGGTCATGGGGTTTTGGGTCTGGGGCTTGGGGGTTTCGGGGGGTTTAGGGAAATGCAGAGTCTGTGGAGGCAACCTGCCGGCTGCAAGGACTGCAAGTCAGCGAGAGGCGGCGCGGCATCCAGGGCTTGGGTCTTAGGCTTTCTTCGGGTTTAGGTTAGCTGTTTAATCCAGGCCTTTGTGATCCCATGTGCAATGCACCCCGATGCCCAGCATGCCACTGTTGTCAACCAAAGCTTCTTCAGCCCATTCTTATTCCCCAACCTGCACACACCGCAGATCGTGAAGCCCCTTCATCCTAGTCGGTCCTAGCTTGAAGCCCCGGCCCTGCGATTCTGCGCCTTTGAAGAGAAGAGCCGAGACTGCTGCTGGCTTAGAAGACGCCTGCCGCACTTCCAACCCCGAAACTCTCGAAGCACGATGCCAGAGCCCCAAGCCGGAATGAAGCCTAGCCGATGCCAACAAAAATTAAAAAACCGTAAACCCAATACAAAATTCTACCAGCCTCGACCCCAAACAGCAA